TATATTGTAAAAAAACAAACATAGGAGGTACTTTATAATTTATAAATCCTACCTCGTAATACCCGCTAAATTCAACTTTTTTTTAACTTTTTTCAAAAAACATTTCCCAAAACCCCCAAATTTTGAACCAAACGAAAGCCTTAGACTCACAACTTTTTCCTCTTCCTCTTCTTCTTCTTCTTCTTCTTCTTCTTCTTCTTCTGCACTCCCAATTTCTTCTTCTTCTTCTTTAGTCCCATTTTCTTCAAAACTACTCTCACAACTTCTTTTATAATAATAAATTTATAGGTGTGTGATTTTATTTTTCTAATATGATTTACTATGGATTATGGGTCTATGACTATGGTGTTGAAATGAATTTATGATTTTACTATTAAATGTTGTGAGATGATGACGAGTTTATGATTTTGTTGCTTGAATGGAGTAGATCGTGAATGTGTTTTTGTCCAGTCAGAGGGTGCTTTGGATGTGGGCTAATGTTTGCTGTGGGCAGGTTGAGTGTGTGGGTTTTGGCTTCTGTTTTTCGATAGGTTGGCAATGGGGCGTTTTGCTCTTGTCCTTTCTGGCAGGTCTAGTTTTAAGTTTTGGATTTAAAGGGATAGGGTGTTTTTGCTTTTACAATCATTATCAATATCAGTTAATAGATTTCATTAATAGATATTAATAGAAAGTAGGTAATTGTTATTTTGAAACTTTTCGAGTAATGAATTGTCATTTTGAAACTTTTTGCGTGGTGAATTGTCTTTAAAGTAAACTTTGGGGGAAGGAGTTGTCCGGCCTTATTCGTATCATCATATTTTACACGATGGCTAGTGTTGTCATGCTCATGGGAAGGTGCAATCCATAACAAGGTGTGCAATCACTATAATTAAAATTCTTAAACCAAAATATTATAAAACCAACACAAAAAGATTTGAATAAAACATTAAAACAATAATCAACATATGAAATAACGGTACTTTTCATTTGAATCATTAAATTATGCTCTAATCTAACTTTTTTTTTTTTTTTTAAATTTCAAGGCTCTATAAAAGCTTATATTACTTCCATAGATTACCTTACTTTAATATTACAAAAGGTTTTATTTATTTTCGAAAAAAGGTAAAGGATTAAATTTTCATTAAATTTTCTTCTTATTTTCGAGACAGATTTTATTTAATTTTTTTGGGTTTTTCCAGAGAATAATTTCCAGAAAAATATACCCCGAGCAACCGTCATTAAGTGCTCATAAAACTATTTCTATTCTCTGTTTCAACTTGCCTCAAAGGCTCCATTTTTGGCCTGTAGTTCTCGGTTTCTTCAGCCGCAAGGTGGTCATTTGCTCTGTTTCAAATGGGTTTGTGTTCTTGTTTTTGATTTTGTTCTAGTTTTGGACTGAGAATCATGGCATTTGCATTTGAAAAATGACGACTTTATTTATTTTTGAGTTTTTTTTTTCAAATCAAAAACCATTTGATTATTTATCAAAAACCCATTTGATAATCACATGCAAAACTGAAGCTTGTTTATAAAAGTTCAAAGTTTACCTTTTTTTGGTGTTTTTTTTAAGGGATTTTTGGTGTTGTTTTAGTGAGATTTTCTCCATTAATTCGTTCAAAGTTCTAGTTGTTTTTTTTTAGTCAAATGAAGCTAGATTATGTCAAAAGAAGCTAATGATCAAAGTTCCTAAAAGTCCATACTTTTTACTTTTTCTTTGTTGAGGTGGGGATTTTTTTTTGCGCACTGGTTATCGTGAATATCAGAAAATTGAAGATTTTCTCATTGATTTTGCCGGGTTTAGGATAGTTCTTGCAACAATCCTTGGGTTGGTCTTGAAATTGCATTTTGGGACTAAAGTTGAGAGCTTTTGAGAGCTGGGAAGAAGAAAGAAATTAAAGAAGGAAGAAATGCCGAGGATTGGTGCTTCATCTGCAAGGATGGCGGCTCTCTCAGGATCTGTGACTACAGGTAAGTTTCAGAAACTTTCTATAAGATTTATATCAGATTTTCAGAACAAAAATTGTCCAGTTTTGGTTGGTCTTTTGGACGAATGCCTTGAAATTTTTTTTTTTTTTATTTGTTAGGAATGAAGGGATGGTTCTGTCTTTTCAGTGTGTGCCTTTGGTCACCTGTGTCATGAATGAGGTTGCTGATGCTGGTTCTGAGATTTGTTTTGTTTTTATTGTATTATTTTCTCTTCGGCCACTATTTCTATTTTAAGTATATTCCATCTACCTGGCATCTGCTGCATTTACTTTTCAATTTGTGACGTATACAAAATGTGTTTTATGGTGTTAATTTCACAAAAAAGATAGCTTTATCCTGTCAATTTTGAGGTACATTATTTCTGTTTTGTTTTATGTTGTTTCGAATAGGTGATATTCTGTCTTTTATAAATCAGGAAAATTGAAATATGAGAACGTGTTTAGTTTGAAGATGATATATCAAGCAAAGATATGTATTATTCTGATTTATGCTGTCAAAATACTTATTATAAGTTTGATAAGTCTAAAATGACTTTTATTTGAAGGTTTGAATATTCAATTTTTTTTCCTTATTGACAAGAAAGAAATTGCTTTAGAAACTTCTAAAACATAATCTGCCCTTCAGAAAGTAAGTTTGGTCATTACAAGGCACATGGATATCTTATGCTAATTTAATGATGTCATCGCTATATCCTTTACTTTCATGCCTGATAGAGGATGCTCTCTATCCCAGTAACTTGTCATAGCCATTGCCTGCAGGGACTGTCTTAAGTCATCATTCAGACTGTTTAGGCCAGGATGATTCTCGTGGAAAGTAAGATCAGTGGACTTGCGGTAATAACATAGTTTTGCGTATGTGCATTGTGTGGACTGCCAATTCTTCTGCCATACTTTCTATTTCCACTATTCATGTTTCTGCTTCATGTTTCTGCACAATGCCTGATGTTTATAGACACATCGCTTAATGTTCCTAGCAACATGTACATTACAGTCTTGCATGGTTTGGAAGAAAAATACTATTGGCTAGGAGAAGAATTCCTTCCCTTTCATCCATATGAATTTGAATATGTAGTGTACTATTAACATCAACAGTTTGGTGCTTACTCTCGTGAAACAGACTATGGACAACAGACAAGTTTACTTTTTGATAGAATTTTCTCTTTCTTCATGTTTTTACCTTTCTTTCTTGCATCAGTTTGTAGTATGTCTCTGTGCTAGCTTTTGAAATGATAATTCTTATTTCAGGTTGGCATTTTTGCTATGAATGCAAGAAAGCTCCGAAGTTTTATTGCTTGGCTGCCCGTCTGCTGTATGTGGACCTGCCTCTGTGATTCGGGTTTGCAGTAGTTTGAGGGAGTAAAGGATTCTGCGATAATTGCTTAGAGCTTGTGGTGCTATAGAAGAAAAGAAAGAGTTAACCCAAGGGGTATGAGCTTGTGATGTTGCTTCAGACCAAGCTTTCTAGGTTTATGTGATCTTTAATATTTAGGTTTGGGTTAATTTAGTTTACTCTTATTAATAATTTGTGAGAAGAGACCAGTCATGGCTTGGCCCTATAGAATTTAACCAATCTATTATTGTGTTTTCCGTGTGTTTTTTTTTTCAACAGGAAAAATAGATTTCTATGCTGAAGACACAATAGAGTTCTATTTTAATGGGTATTGGCAGATAGTAAAGGAAAAAGAAGGCTTTACTTCAGAACATGTTATTTCCGATATAATCTATTGAAGAAGGGGAAAAATCATAGGTCTCCTGATTCGTATGAATATGACGAAGGGAGAGAAGATATTGAAGAATTTGTAGATGAAAGTCAACTCGTTGTATCGTGATTATGATGATTTAGGTGACACAGCAGACGACAAGAAAATTGGGAAGAGGAATAGATCAAAAGAAGCAATCTGCACCGAAAAGAAAGGCAAGTTCAAAGAAAAGGAGTTCAAAGAAAAGGGAGTTCATTGGGTGGGACAAAAACCCTACTAGACTTTCTTGATTCCATTGGTAAAGATACAACCTGTGAACTCTCGCTGTATGATATTACAACTATATTACCGAATACTGCAAGAAAAACCGGCTTTTTCACCCGGAAAGAAGAAAATTATGATTTGTGATGCAAGGCTGCAGCCTCTCTTGGGAAGGAAGTCAGTGAATAGAAACAGTATATATAACCGACTGACGCCGACCTTGCTGAGAACATAGATCATTCGGAGGATGGATCTAAAAGTAGTTTTGGAAACTGTTGATGAATGTGACTCAGTGGTGGAAAAAAGAATGGAAAAGTTAAGCTCATTTAAAAAATCTGATCACAAGGAAGTAGCTGCAGAAGTCCAGAAAAGCTGTTTTGCTTCTGTAGTCCCTAAGAATATCAAGCTTGTCTACTAAGGAGGAGTTTAGTGGAGGATCTAGCAAAGCAACCAGAAACTTTCGATGCTAAAGTAATTGGAATTTTGTGAGAGTGAAATCGGACCCAAATGATTATTTGCAGAAAAATTCTCATAGCTTGTTCAAGTTATAGGTAATGTCTCGGCAAAACTATAATAGTTCAACTAATTTATCCCACTATTGGATTCCTTCATAATCAGTTTATTTGAATTCTTTTACCCCAGAATGCTACTTTATATTGTACTAGTGCTTTTGGCTTAGTTGATTGACATTCTGCACATTATCATCTTAATATATTACAGACATTAAGAGACCTTCAAGCTTGAAATCAGAATTCTTCTTCAACTTTCCGATGGGTGAAAGAGTTACCCATTTCCATTTCCAAGTTGTCAGACGATGACTTCCATGAGGTAAAGACAAACGTTAGTTTGTATTCCTTTCCAGAAAGATTTGATACGTACAATCAAAAGAGTTTAACGCATATAAGACAAACTATGGAACACAATTAAAGTTCAGTCTTTTTAACTGATAAAACAGCTAGTTTGTCATCTGTACCCCAAAAGGAAAACAAAGATTGAATAAAAAAGAGAAGTTCTTTGAATCCATACGAAACTGTCGAATCATAATAATATTATAGTTATTAAGTGTTATTATTGCGGATGAGTTGAGGATTTGCGGCAGAGAGTGATAAACGGCCTTTTGAAAAGGCCAACTGTTGTAAGTTTTTTCATACCATCGGCAATTTGTTTTCCAATCTTAAACTTCATATGCCTCATTTCTGGCAGCACACCAATGTGCATTGATAAAATATTTGTAGTGTATCATGAGATTTAGTTCTGGTAACTTTTCTTGGAGCTATGTCCTTCATGTCTCTTAGGGCTATCGCATTTTGTTTTTTAGAACTTACATTCAAGTGCAACGTTGTCTCATAATAAGGTGGTGAGTAAATCAACATAAAAGTAAGCATTTAAACAGCCTCTTGACCGGAATGTGTTGACTGCAGGTGGAACTTGAACATAAGGCGAGAAGCTTGCATGAGGATATAACTAAACATGTGTGTTAACTTTTAGTCAACTTTCTTAATATAGTCACTGTTTTTTTTTTTTTTTTTTTTTTGGGTAACTTTTGATGCCCCATTGGAGTGTTGATATGCTTTCTAAATTCTGTTGATGATGATACATTTCATTGTACTTTTAAATGCTCCTCAATATCTTTTATTTTCTGGATTATGGGAACTTCTATCTTTTCCTTCACTTGCTTTTGATATATTTTTTTTCCCACTTGGCATTTTCCGTGAAAACATAGTGGATTGCAAGGGAGCTGGTTTCATTACAAAACCGCATTGATAGAGCAAATGAGAAGGGATGGAGGAGAGAATATCCTTTGATGGTGTTATTTCTTATTCCATTGCGTAGTTTTCATCCTCATATATAATTATGCATCATATCCAAACTACCTTTAGATTACTGATCCTTAACATGCATCTTTTGTATACACTTGCCGAGTACATGGATAGTCTGCTGCTGCTTCAGACACCATCAGAGCAAGCACGGTTACAAAATGAGGCTCCTCAAGTAATTCCAGACGAAGTAGAACCTGAACCCGCTTGTGAGGAATCTACAGAAAAAGCTGAACAAGAACATAATGATGATTCACCAGAATCATTTCCTGAAAGAGCTTCGAAGGATACTAGTTGTAGTCTTACAGGCAATGGAAAGTGTCAAGCTTAGGGGATTGTCCTGAGGGTGGTGTTTTGTTGTTGATTTGTAGCTAGATTCCTTCTCTTGGGTCGTATCTCCCATGTTGGTTTAGATAGGTTCCAAGAGAATTGTGTAGCATCAAGCTTAGGCATTTGTTTATGTTTTGCACCCTACGCGAGGGATGTCCCGATGTAGGTGGGCCGCCTTTTTTTGTAGGCCTTTGTAAATCCTTCTTTTCAATACAATTTGCTTTAGAAAAAAAAGGAAAAAGTTTCGCTACACGAATGATTTAGCGGATACTACAGGTTTGCAGGGCTCCTCTTTGTTATAGACTTTTTGTGGGGCTTCCATATTGTGAAAAACATTATAACAGGAATAATTCGTTTGACAAGAGTTTCTAGTCCAAGAGTAAAGCCATGAATGAAAGATTTTTAAATACTGTAGCCGTGAAAATCATTATAAAAAACAATTTTGTGATATTTCTAGTTGAAACGACTTGATCTTATATGTGAAATGAGAAAGATCTCTAAATATCGTAGCCGCGAAAATTAGCATCTCTTGTATTATGTAAAACACAAAGGCACTGTATTTCATAACGATGGAAGGCTCTACTTTTTTGTCCAATATAAAGATCAAATAGTGTGGGATTCTTACCCTGTTATTTGAACAACAAATTTTGTTTTCCTATGTTTTGGTGTTAGACCTTGCCACTACCAACACTTGCTATGTAACAAAAAGAGGATTTAATGTAATATGAGCCATAAGAACAATTCAAATGTCTAAAATATTCATGTCCTCTACTTGATTATGACAGGGTCAAGTGACGCAACTAAAAGGAGTCGAGAAACAAATGCAAAATTCGGTCCTTAAGATCATGGTCTGAGGGACTGATCCATGGATATGTATTGACCCTGTAACTTTACCACACCAATTACATAGCATTTCCCTGCAATCAAAACACTAATTGAAGATACTGGTTGTGGAAAGCAATTTCTAGAGCCATTTTAGCAGTAACAGATAACTTGCAGCAAATCTGGTTTCAAACTTTCAATACTCTGTACTTGCCAAACCATCGATCTTTGTAAAAGCAGAAACAGATTCCTTAAAACTGTACTTTAAGAAACTCCCATTGTTGCTATCATAATGATAGATTTATAATGACCCATTTTTAACTTGGACGGGTTTCTTGTTTCTCAAAGATTGTAGGGATTGACCAGATGTTTTACTTTTGATTTGGGTCTTAAGTGACAAAGATTCTAGAAAACAATGGTTTTCGAATTCGGATATTAACAGCTATTCAGCGAGATTCTGAACTAAAAATATAGAAGCCTCTTGAAAAAGCATGACCATTTGAGATAAAGTTTGTAAACTTAATGCAATCAACAATGGTTCATTTACTTAGAGTTACTAAAACCAATAATTATAACGTGACCCTGATAGCAGTAAACAATACTAAAACATTCAGTTGCTTCGGCATGTTTCTTCCTCAATGCTTAAGCTTTCTCTAATTCTTACTCCCGAATTCAATGCCTTCGCGCTCACCGCTTTCTGTGAAATAAACTCAAGGATTTATCAAACACATATTATGGATTTCAAACAAGAAACAGAAAAGGTTATACAATCAATATAACTCCACTTCTTGTCGAAAACACGATCAAGCTTTATTTGAGTTCTGTACATTGGCCGAAAGAATTTCCAATAGGATGGTCAATATGACATTTCTGAAACTCCTTCATGAATTTGATATCATGAAGACCAGAATAAGTAAACTCTAGTATAAATTATATTCTAGTGTGATTTGCGAGATATTACGTTCAAGTGCTGTTTTTAACCCATTTTGCGGCGTCTAAGTCATGCATTTCCGGAGTACTTTATATAAAAAGCTACGTTTAAGTAAAAACACCTTAAATGTTCAAAACAACCTAGGAAGCGGGACCTTTGGTCTCTATTGCCACACCAAATCTACACAACGAAGAACTCAAATGATTGAAAGTACTTCCAAAGGACCTAAAGCCCCATTTGATTTCAAAGAAGCAAACAATACGAATTGCCAAAACAACTCCAGAAAGAATTTTTGACATGCACAGTTATATGCAAAACCTATGAACAACTAAAACGCAGAAGGCACTTTTTTATTAAGATTAAAAGAGGGGAAATTGCTTACAAAAGAACTCCCAAATCTATTTCAAAGATAATGTATACAAACACGCAGTTTAGAGCAAAACGGGTTGAATATAAAAACACCAGAACAATTTTCTACCAGAGCGCTTGCCTAACACCAACCAAAAAATTACTAAAAAAAGACAGACAAAACCAAAAAAAAAAAAACAAAAACAAGAACACTTTTGAAAATGAGGAAAGCACTTGCAGGAGGCCACCTTTAGCCAATCTTTCAGCTAACTGGGTGATTTTCAGAAAACATCCAACAATCAAAAGACTCCAAAACCACAAAAAATAAAAATAAAGGCAAATAAAACTCACTGTCACCGCACAATGGGGTGTATATGCAAACGGCAAAGGCGGATGCATATTCTTCTTTTTCTTTAATTTATCTGAAAAAAATTACAAAGAATAAAAAAATCAATACAATAAAGCAACAGCAAATCAACAGAGAAAGAGGGGCGAAACTCACCATTTTGGTCTATTAATGGCGGGTAATTTGCGGTTTCTTCTCTGTCTTACCGGTGGTGAGATAAAGAGACAAACTAAGTAGAGTGTGAAATTGAGGTAAGAGTTGTGAAGTGATGAATGAAACGCCGCGTTTCGTCTGGGATCTGAAAGAGAGTTTCAGAAAGCTCTAAAGCTGATGGACTGCTTCCATTTTAGTTTGGTGTCATTAAAATTATCGATTTATAGGAGAGAATAGATGGATTTTTGTGAGAAAATGAAGAACGTTGGGGTTTCTTAAAATATCCATAGTTTAGGATTTTCACGGGCTAATTATAACATCACCGCTGAGATTTTTGTTATTACAAGAAACCCCTTTAGTTTGAAAATTTTGGCTCATCTCCTCTATAAAGTTTTCTCTAATTATTGCCAACCAGCCCTTTGCTAGGGGAGGTTAGAGTTATTGAGCAAAATTTAAGGGACATTTAGGATACTCATCGAGGAGGAGCTTACTGGTTTAGGGGTGGTCAGATATCAACCTTTTTCCTTTAAAAAAAAAAAAAAAAGTCAACTTTAATTATTTTGCCAGAAATTTAAATATATTTTCTAAGCTATTTTTGGAAAATTTACTTTTGAAATGGTTACTTTTATTGAAAACTTAAAATATAAATTTTTAAGGATCTCCAACTAATTACTTCTCGGTAGCTTGATGGCTTACTTAGGACTTTTAAGTATATTACTCAAGAGATGTTGAGTTTGAATATTCATAACTACTAATAAAGGGCTACTGGAGACTTATTTGACCCTTAACTTTAGGGTCTTAGGAGATTAGTTGAGGTACGTGCAAATTAACCCAAACACTAAAAAAAAAAAAAAAAATCTTGAAAAAAGCATAATGAGTATTAAAAATGCACGTATCATATCATTTATACATGAACATAACTCGTGCACGAAAAACAACTTTTGCTCGTGAGTAAATCAAACTTCAAGAGAGGTTGATGAAAAATTTACCCTACATACTGATGAGACCTCCCATTAGTAAAATCTATCAATATAAAGGGCATAAAAGGCATAAGAGCAGTAAAAGGTTCATGCAGAAGAATTTTAAATCCACTTATTCAGTCTGCCCCAGGTGATAGGGCTGGCACATGAGGACCTAGAAAACCAAAATTGAAACATTTATATGTATAATGATAATATATTCACAAAGCTATACCAAAAGCTAACCAGAGTCTTCAAGTAACACAAACTAAAATGGAAAGTAACAAGCTGATGGAAAATTCTGTCTGCAACTTGGAGACCACTTAAGAATGTCATCATAAGAACCTGATATAACAAATTTACAATAATATTAATAGATATGACAGAAAATTAGAAAGCGGACGTANAGTAACACAAACTAAAATGGAAAGTAACAAGCTGATGGAAAATTCTGTCTGCAACTTGGAGACCACTTAAGAATGTCATCATAAGAACCTGATATAACAAATTTACAATAATATTAATAGATATGACAGAAAATTAGAAAGTGGACGTACTTGTTCTACAAAGTGCGCAAGTCGGGTTAGTGCACTCAAAAATCTTTGAGTGAAAGCATTAATTGCTTTTGAGTGGACAGTTGTAGTCATTCCCGCAAAAAAGTTGCTTCTCAAGTATGGTAATGCCCACTGCATGCGTAAAGCAAACAAGTTTGCTATGTGCCTGTTTGTATGGAGGCCAAATGAATTGACCATGTCCCTCCATCCCAATTCAAAATCCTCAATTGACTCCAGATTATAGAGCCTAAAAAACTCAGCCTTCCACTCATTATAATGTTCCCCCAGGACAGCATTAAATCAGGACGGAAACTTCACCACAATCATCCATACGCAGAGTGCATGCTTAGTTGCAGGCATTTCCATGGCTATGGCTTCTTTAAGACACATATTCTGGTCAGTTAGTATTGTCTGTGGTGCCTTCCCATTTAAAACTCAATAATGAAGCCAACATATTTTTGAGAATCTGCCTCATTAACTATCCCTTGCCTGTCAGCGATCCTATTCATCAAAGCGTTCAGTTTAAAAATATATA